AACGTGTTTTTTTCTCACTTAGCGAAACTAAACTTGGGGATCAAGTTCAAGGGTCGTCATTCAACCAGCGCTGCGCTACCCCCAAAATCTTTCAAGTATTGACTACTGGTTTTTTTTTTTTCCCTTTATTTTCAACATCTGAGTTTTCAATTTTTTAGTATCAATTTATTTATTTTTTTAATATATTTGGGTTGAAAAAAATAAAGAGAAAGTAAAAGAAGGATAAAATTTTTCTTTATTTAATTATAAAAAAATTAAAAAGAATAAAAAGAAAATTTTATTTTATTTTTTTAATTTATTAATTTATTCAAATAAAAGGAAAAGAGGGGAGAAATGGAAGTATAAAATTTTTCGTTCGTCTCTTCCCCTTCCTTGTGTTCCCCATAGTTCAAACATGCAGTTAATATAAAGGAATCATTACCCTTGAAAGATATTTTATGTATACAGATAAAAATTGAAAAAAATTAATATATTTTGATAATTAAAATATTAAAAATAAAAAATCAATAAATTAATATAAAATAAAAATATTTAAATAATTTTATAAAATTTTTTATAAAATTATGATTTCTAATATGCAAAGCTCTACGATTGTATGATATTATTTTATGCTTTCGAATATTAGACTATAATGCACTATACAACTTAATTTATCTTTTTTTTATGTCATATCATAAGTTATAAGGTATTTTAGAGAATAACTTTCTTATTTTTAAAATTTTTTTATGAAATTTTCTAAATTGTGTCTTAGGATAAGGATACTTTTTTACAATAAATTTATATAGAAAATATAAAAATAAATATTAATTTTAGAGTTAATGTTATGTAAATAAATATAATTATACAATTGATAAATTAAATATTATTTTTAAAAAAAATTTTAATCTATACCTAAGGGCATATGTTAAAATATTTTTTTATTTATTTTAATATTTAAATTTAATATTTTTAATATAAAATTTAAATTCTTAACCATTAAAATTTCTTTAAAAAGATACAACTTAATTTATAAATAATTTCAATATATAAAGTAAAACTATTTAACTTTAACATTATGATTTATATCCATAACCACACCCTATGAAATGAATTACATGTTATGTTACACCTGTAAAGATAAAGATAAAGGGGAAGGTCATTTTTTTTTTAAAGGGGACAAATGTGCCTTTTTCTTACTTAGCTAAACTAAACTTGGGGATCAAGTTCAAGCCTTCAAGGCTGGTCATTCAACCAACGCTCTGCTACCCCCAAAATCTTTCAAATATTGACTACTGTATTTTTTTTTTCCTTATTTTCGACATTTGAATTTTTTTAGTATCAATTTACTCACTTAATGTAAAGAAATCATTATGCTTGAAAGACATTATGTATAGAGATACAAATTGAGGAAAATTCATATATATTGAAAATTAAAACATCAAAAATGATAATTAAAAATTAAAATAATTTAATAAATTAATGCAAAAAAAATTAATAAGAAAATTTAAACAATTTTATAAAAAAAAATTTATATTTAAAATATCAAATCTTTTCACTTTTATATATAAAACATTGTCATTTATATATATATATTTTTTAAAATTATCGATCAAGCATTGTCTTAGAATTTGAATGCAAAACTTATTCAATTATGGCAGTCAAGTGCATATCATTTTTTTTATGGCATTTAAGTGTGAATATCTGGTATGCACCTGTCTCTCAATTTTTTTAAAGAAAAAGAATCTCCAAAGAGGATATATTTTTTATGTGAAAGATTGTCTTTCTGCTTGTAAGAGAACATATTTATAGATTTTTTTAATATGTATTTTTAAAATATATGTTAATAACATAATTATTGTATTTATTTGTAATTAAATTATATAAAAATAATTTTATTAATTTTATTAATTAATTAATTAAAGTAATATAAATAATATTAGTATTAATATTAATATTATTTTTTTTTATTTTTTTTAGATTTAAGGGTAAAAGATAAAATAATTACACTTTTAATGTATATTTTAACAACAGAAAAACCCAATATTTATTAGTATTTTTATTTAAAAAAAAAAAAGAAAAAAGGGGAAAAAACTCCTTTGATTTAAGGTGGGGGTTTCCTACTTTCCTTCATCCTTGCGCTGTCTGAGAAACTTCTACGGGCTGCTTCTGCCTCCCGACGGCTGCGCCTCTCGGCTGAACTGAATTGAAATAAATAAATAAATAAATAAAATCAATAAATAGATCGCTGGTCAGGTCATCATTCAATCTTCTCGTAATTCGCCGGACGGCAGACAGCACCGTCGCAAGTCTGTCCATTCCTCAGCCGGGGTTCTGTCTTCCTAATACCAAACCTAGATCCTCTTCGTTCCTCCACGCCTCGGAAAATTCCATATCGATCAGTTTTGATTTCGTGTCTTTGTCGTCGTTAAGGAAGAAATGGATGATAGCTGTGCGGTGTGCGCTGACAGTTTGGAATGGGTGGCATATGGTGCCTGCGGTCATCGGGAAGTTTGCTCCACGTGCGTGGCTCGCCTCCGCTTCATCTGCGACGATCGCCGTTGCTGTATCTGCAAGACAGAATGCAACGTCGTTTTCGTCACCAAGGTTAGGGTTCTTCTCTACCTCCTTATTAACCAAGTTCTTCATTGAGTTCTTCAGGACGGTTAATTTTCAATTTTGCGTTGAAATTGGGATTAATTCAATGCTTAAATTTAGCTTGCCAATTCCATAACATTTCATATTACCCTTTCACTTCATATTATTCAAACCCGTCAATTCATACGGCTATAAGCCAATTACTACTGCTTAGAGCTTAATTTTATGTATTTATATACTGTTGTTTCTATTTCATTCGGCATGCATTTCAATTTTACTTCTTTTCTTATATTTGCTATGAAATGAAGAATCTTGTTCCGTTTCAAATGTGGTGACATAGCTTTACTTCATATATGGCGTATCTTATTGTTGTTCGACAAGCTTCAAAGATTAAGCTCAGTTCTTCTCAGTTGAATGTATTATGTGTGAGAATTCGGTAGCCTATAAAGGCATCATTTTTGTTACTGTATTTTAGTTATAGTTTTCTGAAACTACCCTATGGTGTATTGGGTTGTTTTGACTTCAAATTTCTCTGCTTTCCAATATTATAGTGATGCTAGGAAGCACAACTGAGTTTAGATTACTAAATTTTTTACCCTACCAAAATGTGCAACTCAAATTGTGTTTACTATTTTCTATCAATCTGCTGGAGATTCTATTATTCAGCTTTTCTGGCCAAGTAAATTAGTTATTTTCCTATTTTAATTGAATTCTTAATCATTTGGAGCTGTCAATAGATGTTTTATCTGAAGTTGAACTTCCCATCATGATGAGGCACCTGGAAAACTGTTGGGCTAGTAATTGATTCTACTTCTGCCTTTTATGCTGGTTATTTATGTTTTGTCTTATAAGGTTTTATATAAGTATTTGAGCTTATAAGTTGTTTACAACAGGCCTTGGGTGGTTACACAAGGATGATCAATGACTTTTCTGTCTTGCCGGCTGAGTTAAGGGAGGGTAAAGTGGGACCATATTGGTACCATGAGGATACCCAAGCATTTTTTGATGATGGGGACCACTACAAGATGATCAAGGCAATGTGCAAGCTCTCATGCAGTGTATGTGACAAGATGGATGAGCAACCAAATGATGGATCGAAGTGTCGTGGAAAGTTTAGGAACATTGGGCAGTTGAAGGGTCATCTGTTTCGTTGTCATAAATTGCTTATGTGCAGTCTATGTTTGGAAGGACGGAAGGTAAGATTAACTTATCTGGCATCTTATGCTGTAGTCTTTTGCTTGGTTGAATGTTGAATTTCAAAACCAGGCTGATTTGAGTTGGTCTCCTATATGGGGTAGGTGTTTATTTGTGAGCAAAAGTTATATAATAGAACACAGCTCAATCAGCATATAAGCACAGGTGACTCTAAGGTGGATGGAAGTGAGAGTGACAGAGGTGGCTTCAATGGGCATCCTAGGTGTGAATTTTGTAGGACCCCATTCTATGGGGATAATGAATTATACTCACACATGTCCACAGAGCACTATACCTGTCATCTATGCCAAAGGTGAGTTAAAAATGAATATTCTACATTCTCATGATGCACCTTGATTATATTATGACTTTATGTTCAACATTCATGCAGGCAGCATCCTGGACAGTATGAATATTATAAAAACTATGATGATCTTGAGGCAAGAGACTATCTCTATCCCTTTAGTGCCTTTTCTTTTCTTTTTTTTCTTTTTTTTTTTAAATAATGTTTAAAACATAAAAATGTAAGTGATTTTTGAGAGTTTTTTTGTTGCAGATTCATTTTCGCCGAGATCATTATCTATGTGAGGATGAAGCCTGCCTTGGCAAAAAGTTTATCGTCTTTCAATCTGAAGCTGAACTGAAGGTTGGTTCTTATAGCATCATAGTGCTGCATTTCTCATTTGCAATTTGTTTGTTTGTTGTTTGTTTCTTTAAGTGTAACCCTCTTGACTTTTTTTGCTTGTCTAACTTAACTTTGTTCATCCATTCAGAGGCATAATGCAATTGAACATGGAGGATGTATGTCTCGTGCTAAGCGAAATGCTGCCCTGCAGGTATAGCACTAGCTTGTATGATTTCTTAGAGGTTAAACTTTTTTCTGATTGAATCATTTGTATAATTCCACTTGTAGCTGGGTTGGTTATTTCCATATTTTTTTTCCTATTATTAATTTTACTTATTTTGCCAGATACCAACTAGCTTCCGATTTCGTCGAAGTAATGAAGAAAATCGTCGTGGAAGGGGACAGACATTTCGCCCTGAGCCGTCTGATTATCAGCTTTCCATAGCCATTGAGGCAAGTTTGGTCACGACAGCTGGTGAGCCACCACCATCATCAAGTGGCCAGGTGGTTTCTGATAATGGAGATACAAATAGTATTGATCCCATCGTTCAGCCTTTTGAATCATTATCAACAACAGATTCTGACCCACCTTCAAGATACCTTCAAGCAGTAGCACAAGGCTCAAGAGGTGTTCCTTTGGCAGAATCCTCTTTTCCTCCTCTTTCCACGGCTCCAAGTAGCGGTCAACAAAGCGCTAAACCTAACTCTGATGCTTTACCTAGTAATACCATGGCAGCACATCTAAGGCGCCAGAGAAATGTACATGTTCTCAATTCAGCTCAGGCATGGCCTGTGGCAAGTAGCAGATCAGTCCAACCTTCAAGCAGTCCAGTCCAATTTAGACCAACAATGCCTGCAACATCACATGATGCTAGTGCTAGCACTGGAGCTGCAGTGTTGAGCTATGCAAGTTCAGCTCTGGGAAAGGCTCAATCAACAACAGTTAATGGATTGATTTCATTGGGTTCCTCTTCAGCAAGCTCTGGCTACACTGGTAGGATCAGCAACTCCGCATCAACCCCTAGTCTTGCTGATGGTCAACCTTTGATACCTTCTGCTTCTGATTTCCCTCCAGTTTCTACAATGCAAATGCGAAAGATGCCCTCAAACAGTCAAGCCCCAACGAATGTGGAACATATTCATACAGCAAATAAATCTTTGGTTGAAAAGCTACGTGCTGCTCTAGAGTATGATGAAGACAAATACACTGCTTTTAAAGACATAACTGGACAGTATCGTCAGGGTTTGATTGACACAGGAAAATATTTGAATTATGTAAAGCAGTATGAATTGTCACATCTACTGCTTGAGCTGGCTAGACTGTGCCCTGATGCGCAGAAGCAGAGAGAACTAATTGAGACTTACAATGCTAGTATGCGAAGCAATGGTCTGCAAGAAAAAGTTGGTGTCCATGGCAATCTCCGGTTGAAAGATGATAATAGCTCTAGGAAAGGGAAAGGGAAGTCTTTAGTTGCTGAAGATGGTCATTCTAAGGATGCCTTAGTTAATGGTATAATAAGCACTGTCAGGAAACTGCAGTCCAATTACAATCCCTCAGAAGAAGAGGTGGAGGTGCTATCAAAGGATGGGTACCGTCGTACTGAAGGCAAATCAAAGGTGATGGCCAGTGAACAGCTGGTGGAATTGAGTTCTCAAAATCATGGGAGCAAGAATGATTCTGTTTCTACTGGAGATGGATCTGCGGTTGGTGGTGGTGGCAGTAAACAACGGAAGAAAACTTCAAAATTCCAGAGACTTCGGCTTGGTGATGGCTCAATGGAAGCAATCTTGAATCTCAAAAATTCTGAACCTGAACAGCTTGACCATAGGTTAGATGGTAACCAAAACCCAACTGGAGGATTACCTGTACGTGGTGTTTGGAGGACTGGAGGAGGTCAGAAACTCTTTCCTTAGATGAGTTCCAAAAGATTAGAATGTGGCTCAAGTTTTACAAAGATGTGTCACAAACGCTGGCATTATATAACTGTCACCTGATCATCAATTGTTTTCTATTTTGCTTTTTTGGGATTATAGATTTTGTTCAAGTATTCATATAGATGCTATTTGGTTTAAAATTTCATATTCATATGGCTGGAACAAAAATATGGGTTTTTTGTTCAGTGATTTGGTGAACATAAGATGTCAACAAAAAATTTATAGAAAACAGCAAAAGGTCAATGTGTTCAGCAAAATCAAATTGCATTCCTAAAGGTACAATCATGCATAAGTGCATACCGGTAATAAGTTCCTTTCCAGTACCTTTCGAAATATGGCATGTGATGGAATGAAATATTCATAACATAGTAGGCATCGGTCAGTTTGGTGGCTGAACCGGTTGATAATAGCGGTTAATTGCCTTTTTGGTGGAAGAAAAGTGTCAACCATTCATCAAACCAAATTTGTTTTGGTTGTGTTGGTTTAGTGACTGATTTATCTTGATTTTTTAATTTTGGTTTCAATTTTATCCAAAATAGATTTTTATAAGAACAAAGAGAATAATGGGAGAAGAAAATTGTGATGGTACTTTTAGCTTCTTTTTTATCCCTCTACTTTGAAATTTCTGTTATCTAATATGCCACATATGTAAAATTTAATAAAAAGATTAAAAAAGGATCAAATTTCACACTTTGGGGATCAAAAAGGATTTTTTTTTAAGTATAAGGATTAAAAAGAGGTTTTTTTACTAAAGTAGAGGGACCAAAATAAGGATTTAACCTTTTGAATTCATATTGCACCAAAATATATTTTTTGCCTTAAGGTAAGTTTATATTTTTCTAACTTAAACTATACTTTTTGTGTCTTTCATTTTGAAAAACTATGCTTCTATACATTCTAAATTGGAGTTTTAAACTTTTTCAAATAATCAAAATTTGAAATTATTTCAATTTTATAATATCAAATCTTATCATTTTTGTTTTATCTATGTTTTTTTCTTAGTTTTTAGTAGTTCATCTTAGACACAAATCAATTTTGGTCATAATAGTCCTTTTTAGTTGATTGAAATTTAAAAACTTATTATTTATTTATTTTATTTTGAATTGTAAAATGGATTCAATAGCTGTTATTTGTATCATGTTGTCTTTATATCACAATAGCAAATCATAATATAATAATTACAATTGAAATTATATATATTTTTATTAAATCATGATATAATAATTGTAATTGAAAATTTGAAATCACATTCTTCGTTAAGAAATTTTTGACCATACAAACTTTTTGTCTTTCATACTCATTTGTACTTTTATTTTTGAAGTAAGTAATAATCATAATATTAAATAATAATAATAATAATAAAATTGAATTTTTTGCATATCACCTCATACATTAATGTAGAGA